TCTATATCTATATCTATATCTATATCTATATCTATATCTATATCTATATCTATATCTATATCTATATCTATATCTATATCTATATCTATATCTATAATAATAATAATAATAGATTGGCACTTACACATATGTTAGTGTTTGGCTGAGCTTCTCCTCCGACTTGTGGCGTGCGCCTTGATGTTGTCACACAAAGCGGAGGGACCTACAGTTTTACGCCGGCTCCGAACGGCGATTGTATTTTTATGAGAAGCTTTTTTTCGTGGCAGAAATACACTCGGAGGTTTGCCATTGCCTGCCGAGGGACGACCGCTATATCTGTACTAATTATATAAAGAGAAGTTCCTTTTTTGTAACCGGTAATGTCGCAAACGGCTGGTCCGATTGTCATGAAATTTTGTATATAAACAGCTTTCAGCAACCACCATTTAGGTGGACCAGGGACCGATCTATTCGAAAAATCGTATTATGGTCCGATTTGTATAAAATTTGGTACGTAGGTAGCTTTTTGCCTAGATTAGTATATAGGAACCTTTTTTCCCCGGTAAGTGGACCAGGGACCGATCTATTCGAAAAAAATCTTATTTATGGTCCGATTTGCTTAAAATTTGGTACGTAGGTAGCTTTTTGCCTAGATTAGCAAATATGATCATTTTTTTCCGGGAAGTGGACCAGGGACCGATATATTCAAAAAATCGTATTTATGGTCAGATTTGCTTAAAAGTTGGTACGTAGGCGATAAGGCGAAGAGTGGCATGCAATTGAGAGAGAGCTAGTAGGCGAACTGATATGAATTAAACAAATATATTTTTATTACTACGCCGAAATGCGTACACTTTATTGATATTCTTAAAACTGTTTATAATATAAGATCTTACACTTGTTTGTTATTGTTGAGATGCGGCGGTGGTTATCGCAGTGGATTATTCCATTGCCAGATGTTTGTTGTTTACATGTTGAGAATGCATTTCTTGATAATGCATGTTTGGTTGTTATTGATGATGCTTAGTGGAAACTTTGTTTACGTGCCTTGTGACGAAGTCATTAACTCGCAAGAGGAAAACGAGGAAGAATCAAGCATTAACGAGAATGAGAGACCGAGCGTTCTCACTACCCCTGCTCCTATTCCTAATGTAGCCAGCAGACCAAAACGTCGCCGGGAGCCTAGCTTCAATGAGTGCATTAAAAAAATAAATGGGTGAAAAAAGCAACGCGATGGCATCGATGGCGGAAGACCTAAAAAAATTCAGAAGGCAAAGAGAACGTGCGCACAAAAAAAGATATAAAATATGAACTCAAAGAGTTGAATCGCAAATTTAATAAATTTAACGAGAAATTAACACACTTTCAGAGAAAAAAAGGCTGAAATGTGATGGTTTGTATTGCGCAAAAAGAATTTCTGATGAGACTACTAATTCTTGAAGTGGAAAATACTATGTGTTGTATTCAACTTGAATACTATAAGCTCTCTTTTTAATACTTGAATACTTAGTGAATTTTTAGAAGAATAAGCTCTCTTTATTTTTATTTTTGTAATAAAGTGAACTGAAGTGAACATTCATTCAGTTTTTATTACAAAATTATAATAAGTTTGCTATATAGTCCATTAAATTGGATGCATTTCCCTCATCCGGTGTATCGTCCGACTCATCGTCGCTTTCTTCAGCGCCGTCTATCTTGACAGCCCCGTCATAGCTTTTTCAGTACTATTTTTATTTTCCAAAACGCATCTCATGGTATTTTAATAACAAAAAACAAACTGACTCATTTATAACAAAAGCCGACACTTCAACGGAGGAAACGAGTTGCGCGTTGCAGCGTGGCAATCTCTCTTATAAATTATATGGGTGCAAAATTTAGTCAATGTGTTGATTTACAAAAATCGATGAAGTGCATATACGTTAGCGAAATTTGATATTTTTATGGTGGATTCTAGTGCTTTAAACTATACTCTTATATATGTATATAAAAAAAATCATTAAAATGTTGCCAAAGAACTACCGAAAAACGCATAAATTGCGATTTTTTTTTATTATTGACTCAATTTTGCACCTAACTGTATATGTATGTATCACATTCTACTTACCGCCCGCATTGAAAATGGGCGCATGATCAAAGTCTGCAAAATTCGCGGAAGTGCCATTGCCAATGGAATTACTTTGAGACATGTTTCCATTCGTTTGCCCAGGGCCTTTCAACAGCTGATGTTTTTGTTTCTGCTGCTGTTTCTTCAGCGGTTTTATTTTAGCATACCCGTTGCTAGTTATCGTACTGCCGCCTATATTCATTTTTGGTGGCGAACTCATTTTACTGCTGTTCGACGTTGTGGCATCGAAAATATTCGCGGAACCAAAATCTGCAACGAAATCGGTGTCCACACCAAACCCGTTCATACTCGTCGCACTGCTGCCCTCCGACATTCTACTTGTTGTCATATGCAAAACATTCAACTCATTGCGATTGCTGTTACTGACGTTATTGTTTTTGTTGTTATTGCATAGTTGCATAAACGCATTTTGAAGATGATTATAATCATTTTGCTGATGTTGCTGTTGCGGCCGACTTATTGCTGTCACTGTTGTTGCCGAGCCGCCTGTTGAACCCGTTTCCCCAGTAACTACCTTGTGCAAGCCATTCATAGTGGTACGCTGCGTGCTAGGCGGCGTCAGCTGGAAACTTCGCTCTGCATTTGTATTTTGTTGACGGTACTGATTTCTAGTGCTTTGCTCATTTTTCCCGGAGCCATTTCCCGCCTTCACCAAGTCAATATGATCATCAATATTGTTCTTATATGAACTGCTGTCATTTGATGCTATTTTAGATGCCGCCCCTGCTGCCACAGCCGCTACTGCTCTAGATGTCGTAGGTACTTCTGCTCCAACTCCTGCCATTAAACCCGTCTTAAGAGTGACTGAATTCGTCAACGATTTTAGCGGACTAGCTGGCTCCAGATAGTATCGTTTTCGCTCATATTTGTCAATCATCAATTCGCGCTGATCTTGATGCCCGGCTCGCTTTGGGTCCCAAAGGCCCAACCAGGTTTTAGCGCATTCATCATTTCCATGACTTTTCAAGTAATCGACGTCATCTTGTGTGAATGTGGCCATGGATATTGATTTTACGCGATGTGGAGGAGTAAGACCGCGTCTGTGGATTACAAAAACAGAAAAGGCATATTAAAACCTTAGGACGATCTAATTATTTCTGAAAAATAAGTACATATGGCATGTTTAATCAGCCCTATTCTGCATTTCGATTACGTTCCCGCATTCCGCTCCGCTGGAATCGAACTTAGGTATTCTGAGTTACGATCGAAACGAAAGAAGAAGAGGAGGAGAAAAAACATCTTTCGAAATCAGCTGTTTGCCTAGGAATGTGTGTAATCGAAACAAAACAAAGAAATTTTTGCCACCAAACTATTGCAGCATATGAAGTTAAAGTTTGTAAATATTTTAAAATAAATAAATAAATCTAGCATCACTGTAATTTAAAAATAAAATTTAAGTGGAAACATAATTATAAGAATGAAATCCGTAGCCGCGGCGTTATTGCTTGAAGAGAAGAACGAGTCCCAGATTGCTCATGCGGAAGTTGAAAGGCGGAGATTTAGGGACATGTTTGATCTTTTTCAGATAAGTGAAGAGTCATAAAAAATTCATCTCGAACTGCATTACTCATCGCTCAAAGTCAGTGAAATTATAAACGTTGTTTGAGCACTCCACAACATTTGCATTTACTATAGAGTGGAAGATTTGAACGCAAATGAATCCGGTTTTGAAAGCCGTCAGGAGGAGGGAAAGAAAACAGCTTATCTTTCCATAGCAAATCGAATTCGAGACAACATACGCACCTCTTTTTAAAAAGTTAGTAAAAACGAGTGCAATAATAAAAGCATATTTTTTTATGTAACTTCACATTTTATGTATGTATGTATCTATGTGCATACATCTATTAATTTTATATAAAAAGAATAAATTGTATTCAGTGCATTTCACAGTCTTATTTATAGATAATGTAAACAAAAACGCCTGGACTTCCACTTTGAAAACGTCGCGCAATATCCCTTTTGGTTGCCATTATTCGAGCCAATTTTTCGTGTTGCCCGTATTACCGCTCGCGAAAACACAGAAATCGAGAAAATTCATTTATGATGACTTTTACAATCATGCACCGTATATTTTACTTAAATTTTTTATAAAATTTTATTATTTAAACCCACGAAAATAACAATCAAAACGTCCTCCGTCAACAAATTTGCAACTTAGAAAAACGGAACTACGATCGAAATGTAGAATAGGTATAATCGTAAATTTCGAAGATTGATCGAAACGAAACGGAACGCAGAATACCAAACTTGCCAAACGGAGAAAATTTCGATTCGAGTCGAAATGCAGAATAGGGCTGAATAATATAGAGATGCACCTCAAAATTTACATTTTTGGAGATATCATTATGCAATAAATAAGCTTGATAAGTAGAATATGCTCAGTCTAACAGATAACCAAACTTCCCAAATCTGGCGAAGATATGTGCCTTTCCATCTGTTTTTGTATACCAACTTGAATTGATAAAACTTTGATTGCGTTTTCCCACAAAATTGAAATTATGAAATACTTCGTTATATTATTAAACGAGCGATATGTACATATGTACAATATGACAAAAAATATAAGGACTGCCGAAAATTTTAAAATATTTTTTATTCGAAATAGGAAGCGAAAAGGAAACAAGAGACTGAAATTGAAATGGGGTTAATAAGAAAACTTTGAAATTTCATTCTAAAGGCATTATCAAGTAAATTATTTTAAAATAGCACAATAAGTTGCTCAGTGAGTGTACAGAACTTGTACATATCGATGGTCCTCTGCAAAAACAACACAACTCAAAATTCAGCAAATAAAAACCATTACTACTGTTAATTGCTTCATGTCTCTCATCCTTGTCTAATACATACTACCTACTTTAGCAATCGTTACTACTTACTTTAGGATTGGACATGGGTTAGACAAGGATCAGATACATGAAGCACTTAACATTAGTAAGGGATTTTATTTTTTGAATTTTGAGTTGTGTCGTTATTGTAGAGCACCATCGATATATTCTAGTTCAGCTTCACTTTTTACCTCTAGTGGGGGATACCGAAGAGCGCTTCGAAAAGTAAAGTAAATTGAGATTTTTTTTAATCTAATTATTTTGGCTTCACCAGCCCTCTATATATAATTTCCTTCGACTAGAGTCTTTAAGTAAATATGTATATATGTATTAGGGTGTCCGTTATTTACCAAGTTGGTTTTATTTTTTGCAGCCCCCAATAAATTTTTTGTTTATGACCTAAAACGGAATATAAGACTAAAAAAAACCTTTAATCTTCATGTTATTTAAACCTTGCCCCAAAACACATAGGACTATGCTACATTTTACATTTAACGCTTTTTCTTCTCGGAAGTCATTTATTTAAATGTCGTCTGTTTGTGGTCGATCTTCCTTTTTTAGCTAGATAGGCATTTGTTATTAAAAAATTTTAAAAAGAAATAGATATTTTATTTTACACTACTGAACGTTAAATATAAATATTCCTCTCTTTTTCATAAAAACAAAATGCAAATGAAACGATGGGTCAGCAGATCGTAATATCTTTCCACATCTTCAACCAAGATTTGCTACTCACTTAAATATTTTAATCTACAACGGCGGAAACAATCGCTTTAACACTTTTCTAGATTTGTTCAGACAAAAGAATAAAAACGCAATTTGGCCGTTACTTTTATGAGTATATTGATTGCTTCGTGTGTTTGGAAATTTTTTTGTTTTTGCCGCACGGTGTAATCAATATATGGATATAAGAAAAATCAGATTTTTAATAGGTGAAACAATAATTAAAGTTATCGGAAAAAATTTACCGACAAATAAGGAAGCGATGCAATTTTTTGTTTCCTCATTCAAGAAATCTCAATAAATCGATAGATGACAGCTGCTCAATCGTTATAAACGGAGTTAAAAAAATTTGGAGCAGAGCGGCTATACCCACTCAAGATACTTCACGGTGCATTAAAAAATTAAAAAGCTTTATACAGAACCGAAAAAAAGAGAAGGTTTATTTAATACTATCGAAAAATTATTTGATATTGTCCAAAGAATTTGAACAGATGATTTATTGTCGCAGGAAATCGGTAATTTGAAAATATTGCATGAATAAAGCTAAATAACTTATTTTAATTTATTGTTACTGAACTCAGTTACTTAAGGGATGTTCTCCTGATTCTAAGCATATAACTTTTACCTGCCGCACATGCATAGTTTTTGAGATATTTGCTGTTATTTGTTATGTTTCTTAATCTTTTACAACAAGATTTTGCATATTTATATCCTCTAACGACACCCAATACTGCAATTGTATCACGTAAATACATGCGCACCAACTATATACTATATATCTTCTATATACAATGTGTGCCAAATAAGACCTACCAATGTTAAACACGTACATATGTATAACCTCTTTATTTTTTAATATTATTGCTATTTTCTTTCTGCATGTTATAGTTAATCTCTTGGAAAATCATAATGGATACTTACAGCAAGACCACCAACAACGACTACAATACGCATTCGTTTTACACAATTAGCCACACAAATTGATTTTTTTGGTAATGTTTGGATGTCGGATGAAGCATTTACATGCAAAACTATATATTGTGGGGCTCTGAAAATCCAAGGGCAACACACCAGCACCAGTTTCATCCATCCAGATGCACTCTTTGGTGCGGTGTTATGGCCCATATTTCTTCGAGAATGAAGGATGAAACGCCAGAAAAGATTTCTGGGGCTTCTTACAGAACAATGATTGACAATTTTTTGCGGCCAACGGCAAAGCAGCGTCCTAAATTGTGGTTTCAACAAGATTGAGCGACTGCTCACACTGCTAGACAAACTATGGCAAACTAGGCAGACTATAGTAGGTAGTATTTGGATCAACGTCTATATATAAAACTAAGTTGCGTACGTATGACCGCCCATAACTCGAGAACGGATTGTCCGATTTAAGTAGACTTTTTTATACCCGAGCGCACTTGTTTTAGTTGTATTTGTCCTTGCCCAAGAAAAAAATTTACAGAGTGAAAACTCCATTAGGTGGCGCTGGAATGGAGTTATTACTAAAAATCGTTCTATATATACAGTATCGGTCATATCTATAGCACGCCATTCCAAAATGATATTGTGTGCCACTTATGTTTATTTATTTATTTTTAAGAATTTTCAATTAAAATACAGTTCTTTCTCTAACAAAACCCATATAAACCCAAGTTTAAAAACTTATAGAAAACTACAAGAAAGTGCAACAAATTTTCGCCTAAATTTAAAATTTTTTTCTCGGAAGTGTTTGAATTTTTCTGAATACACAGTTTTATAGCCCAATCAATTTTAGTCTGATAATGTGCAAGTTTCAAGTGGCTAAAAGTTACCGCTGATTTTTTAGAATTTTTTTCGTAAAGGATGTTGCGGTGTTCTTCCATATACAAATAAATTGAGTTTATTCATTATATGGAAGGCAATGCGACAAAAAAAATTCTAAAAAATTAACGGTAATTTGTAGCCACTTGAAATTTGCACATTATTAGACTAAAATTGCAGGGGCTAAAAAACTGTGTACTCAAAAAAATTCTATCACTTCCGAGAAAAAAGTTTGAAATTTAGGTGAAAATTTGTTACACTTTTTTGTAGTTTTTTACAAATTGTTAAACTTGGGTATATATGGGGTTTGTCCGAGAATGAACTAAATTTTAATTGAAAATTCTTAAAAATAAAGAAATAAACATAAGTGACACACAATATCACTTTGAAATGGCGTGCTATAGATATGACCGATACTGTACATATATTGGTAAGAGGAACAAAAACACCTCTGCGAAAAATTTATCAGCTGGGAGCGCTGCATGTCCACATTCCCGACGACTGGAATTTAAGTGTGCTCTGCCCAATCCACAAGGATCCGCGGGATCAGCCTTCTAAGCATATTTTACAAGGTCTTATGGAGCGTATTGCATGGAAGACTGAAGCCCAACGTCAACGAACTGATTGGTACTTATCAGTGTGGCTTTAGACCTGGAAAATCCTTCATAGACCAACTAATCACGATCCGCCAAATC